TTTCGAAATATAATTCGTAAAATATTTTTTTTTGAAAATTTTTCAACGCTCATATTTGTACCGCTTAACTTACATGATACGTACATAATCAACAATTTAATCTCGATGCATAAAAAAGCATCGAGATCGAACTAATTTCGACGAATTATTATTCGAAAAGCGGGATTCTCGGTGTTTCGCGTAATCGTGATGAATCATTGGCTATCGACGAATAATTCGTGCCTGACTCAGAAACCGATCGCGTCATCGTGCCATAATAAAAATAAAACTCTCCGTTAAGGACAAAAACCGCTTTCGATGAGAAGGACGAAAATTAGAGTTGGTGATATTTGTGGACGTGGGGGGGGATTTCAGAGGGGAGTTGCTTGCGCAGGGTAAAAAAAGATTCCTCCCCCGGAGCGGGAAAAAATGGGTCGCTTTACAAAACCGTTCCTCTACGACAAATCCGACAAAATCGTTAATCGTTCGTTCGTTGTTTCGATCGAAATAAATTTTCGTCCCGATTTCCTGAGTTTTGGCTGTGTGAAATCGTGTCGAAAAAATTTTTCCCCAGACGAGGAGGATGAGGTTACAAAAATTCAATTTGTCGGCCTCGAAGCTGCACTTTCACTTAACCACCCACCAGAAAAGCGCAGCAACAGCTGCCTGCTCGCTCGCTCGCTCGCTCGTGATATTATTCTTCGTGAGTTTTCAAGGGTAGACGACGCCAAGGGCTTCCCTGGCAGCTGACACTGCAGATGGGCTACACCTGCCTCCAACTATTTACAACGTCGTCTCGTTCTCAGCGTCGTTGTCTCTTGGAGAAATCGTGGGCGCTCTCTCTCTCTCTCTCTCTCTCATATTAAAAATATCGTTTCGATTTCGCAAACTAGGCAGAAAGAGGAGGGGGGCGAGAGAGATGGAATCGGTGGCGGTTTACAATTAGTTCATTCATCGAATGCATCTCCGCGTGCACGCTACTCCGTGATGCGCGTACGTATTAAATTTCCACACGACACGCGGCGATGCGCTGTCGAGAGGAGGGGGAGGAGGCGAGGTTTATCGGGCAGGCGCCAACTACTCGTCGCTCCTGGTTGTAACCCGCGAGAGATACACTCTGTTGTAGCAGCGCGAACGATCGTGAGAGCGTTTATTATTTCAATCGCGTGCACGCGCCTTCTCTTATCCCTTCGAGAATGGATACACTCGATCGCGGGGAATTTTATTAAGGATACGATGCGATTAATTTTTACTTTGATATGATTGAATCGGTTTGACGTTTGAGTTGGTAAATTCAGATATATATATATAATATTGGCAAGGGACAAAGCGTGTTCGAAAAGAATCGGGGATTAGTAGGTCGAGGCTAAATCGACCGAAGCCATCGTCGCTCGATTGCTCTAATATAATTAAAAAAGAAAGGAAGAGAAAGATTATTTGGAAATATTGGAAAAATCTATCTATACTACGATCATATAACGATTCCTCGCCCAGAATGACTAACTCCTCTCCTAATATCCGTACCGATTAACGGCCAGCTAATTTAGATTAGAAGAATATCCTCGATCGATTTCCACGCTTTAATCACCCTCTCGTAATAACGATTCTTACGCAAACGAGTTTATTAAAGAATCCCACGCGTTACGTTTAGAAACCGACCAGCCAACCGGAAAGTTTTTCGAATTTCGACTCGAACAAAGGGAGAGGGAAGGGGGGGAGGGATCAAGCGGCTCGAACAATCTCGAGGATGTGGGCACGTTTGCCATCGAAACTGTTTGCACTTTGTACGAGCTCTTCGTTCCAACAGATATATATCGACCCACGCGCTTCCGTTCGAAATTCGATCGAATCGAAGAGCGCTTTCGTACGCTCTCGGTTTTCGAATCGGTTCTTAAAAGTAAGATCGTGATACATCGATTTAAGCTCATTTGGATCGTGATCGGGCGCCCCCCTCTCTCTCTCTCTCTCTCTCTCTCTCGCAACGCGCCGTTTTCAGCGGCAGCCACCAATTTACCGTAATTATTATGTTTATCTTTCTTATTCACTTAACTCGACTCACGAACAGCCGGCTTCCATTCGATTTTTGCCGAACAACAATTTCGTACCTTCGAGCGTGCACCGCCACGCGTCGATAATTACGCTTTTGAGTGGAGAGGGAAGATCCACTTTGTCAAACTCGATTTATCGTGATGCACACGATTCGTGGTTCAATATATTCGCGAGGATATAGGCGAGATATTTTCGAAAGTGGATAAGGATCGTTGTCAACCCTTTTACTATAGTAATAAATATATTGGCTCTCGTATCGCGCGACGAAATTGGAATTATTCCGTCTTTTATCACTTATTTCTCGCGAGATGGAATGAAAAGAAGAAAAGGGAAAGAAAAAGAAAAAAAAAAATCTCTCCGTTCGGTGCTGTGCACACTTTTCGGCGCGGCGGGGATATCGCCCGCGGCGAAAGATGGTTGAAGACGGTCGGGCGTTGAAATCGTTACGTCGTCGAGATTTTTACACGGCGAGCCACGCGTCCGGCTTTATTACGTGTTTCAAAGGCCGGCCCCGATGATCCACTTTGTCAAACTCAATTTGCGCGATCCCCTCCCCTCCCTTTCTCTCCGCCGCGCACCGTCCTCGCCACAACGTTCGACGACAATTCGCGGGTGAGCGCGAAAGAGCGTGGCGTTCTTCCTTCTTTCGAGGAACGAACGAGGTTGGGAATCGACACCAAACTAAAAATAAATAAATAAATAAATAAATAAATAAATTCGAATTCGTGGTGAAAACTTTCGTGGGAAATCTTCTTGAGGGGGGGGAGAATTGTTCGATTGTCGAGGAACGTGGTCCGCTTGAGCAGCTCGTGAGGATTGTTCCATGCACCGTACGGTAGAGGAGGAGGAGGAGGAGGAGGAGGAGGTTCGTGGAAAAGTGCGGGGAGAGGGACGAGAAGAGAGGCGAAGCCGGAGAAACGGCGGAAGGAGGAGGGTAAAGGACGCAGGCGATGAGGAGAGGAGGAGGATCGAAGAGGACGAAGAAGAAGAAGAAGAAGAAGAAGTTAAGATGGTCCAGCTCGGGCAGCATCGGCACCGCAGCCGGAGGTGATGACCTGCTCAAGGCCACCCGCTCCCAACTCCTCTTAGACTCCGGAGAGGAGAACCACTCTTCTTATTTTTCCTTGCTCTCTTTTCTCTCTTTCCACTCCTTCCAGCCTCTCCCTCTCGCTCGCTCAGCCCCTCCTGCCCAGCCTTCCTTCTTCTTCTTCCTGTTTCCCGCCACTCCACCACCGCCACCACCACCACCACCACCACCGTTCCCTTTCTCCGTTCTCCCTCTTTCTCGAACCCCTTAATGTCAACTTCCCGCCCAGGCCTTTCGTCGAGTTTCTCTTCCCGTTCGTTCGATCCGTTCGTCTTAAAAAAAAAGAAAAAAAAAAGAGAAAAAAGAAAAAGGAAATCGTCCTCCTGCGAAAAAATCACTCGTCTTAATCGTCGTTACGCAAACACGTAAAACATGTACAAATAACGTGCCGTGTTTCTACGAGAGAGAGAGGAGAGAGAGAGAGAGAGAGAGAGAGAGAGAGAGAGAGATTTTTGCGAAATTTTACCAGCGGATAAAACTTCCTCCTCTCCCTCCCTCTCCTTCCTCTCTCACCGGCTTAGAACTAAAGTGTCCGTAAAATTGAAACGGACATGGAATTTTAACGGTCGATTAGGCTACAAGCTTGAATCATAACGCGGAGCTGGTACCGCGCCATCACAGGTTTACGACGCACCGCAACAACTCGTAAACCGGACGATATCGCTCTCGCCTTAAATCTGCTCGCGCCGCAAAAAATATTTCTTCGCGGGCGAGGGGAGAGGAACGCGCACGCCGTCACCGTACGCCGCCCATACAGCCGTCTCTCTACCTCAATTCGATCGAACCCTGCGCAAATTCCTTCCCTCTCTCTCTCTCTCTCTCTCTCTCTCTCTTTCTTCCCATCCTTTTCAAATTTTTCGAGAAAATTCGAAAATTGGGACAGCCGTCTCTCAATTCGATCGAACCCTGCGCAAATTCCTTCCCTCTCTCTCTCTTTCTTTCCATCCTTTTCAAATTTTTCGAGAAAATTCGAAAATTTGGACAGCCGTCTCTCAATTCGATCGAACCCTGCGCAAATTCCTTCTCTCTCTCTCTCTCTCTTCCCTTTTCAAATTTTTCGAGAAAATTCGAAAATTGGGAAAGAAGTTTCGATCGAAAAATATTCTTCCTCTTCTTCTTGAACGAGACACAGAATTCGAGAGAAAGAAGAAAAAAGACGTAGAAAAAAAAAAAAAAGAAATGATAGATAATTCGGATCGTGGCATGGAGAGTATCCGTCGTATGGCGAGATTAATTAATAATAATAATAATAATAATAATAATAAGAAGGCAAGGAAAGATTGGCACCGCCCCTCCCACGAGCGGTGCTCTCTCTCTCTCTCTCTCTCGAGATAGGGATCTGCACTGCGATGTTGATTAAGCGATCAAGGTCACGGGGAGAAACCAGAGCGGCCTGTTCGGTGTTGCGAGTATTTCGTTTTGCCGTTTTGAATGAAGCGTCGCGGTGGTGACTCGCGTGCGGAAATAGTAATTCGAGCAGTTGGAGAAACGGGAAAGAGCCGGGTTTGCGTACACGCGTGTCGATACGTTGTTGGCCGATGTTTAATAAACGGGAGGAGGTCAACGAGAGTCAATCGTGCAGCTGTGCCCAGCTTAGCCGCCAACCTATTACCTCGATTCATTATCACTGGTCTGGTTTGTGCGCGCCAGTTCTTTTTTTCCTCTTCTTTTCTCTCTCTCTCTCTCTCTCGCGAGTGTTCGAGATCGCTAATTTTTCTTAATTGAAACGTCATCCACCACGGGAACGGGACATTCATTACGCGCGTTCGTATCATCGCGATCGAGTGCGAGACGCTTCGCTTTTGGAAAAAAAAAAAAAAAAAAAAAAAGAGAAATAAAAATCTCGAGTCTCAACCTCGGATTTCACTTTATTGTTTGCTTTCAGCACGGAATGACGGGGTAGACGACGCGAATCGAAGCGCGAATTTCCCATCGTCGGAGCCGCCCGTCGAAAATCACCACTCAGGTAAGCGAAAAAAACCCACTCGTTTCTCGAATATATATATAAAATATAGTAATATAAAAAACTACGTTTTCGATATATATATATATATATATATATATCCTCGAAAGAGAAGCGTCGTCTTTCTGTGATAATCGGCGATGTTCGAGTTGGAAAGAGAGGAAAGCGAGGGAAGAGGGGAGAGGGGGAGGGGGGAGGGGGGGAGGGGAGCGACGACGACGGTGGCAAGCAGCGAACGCTCGCCGCTTGGTTTACGACGACGACGACGACGACGACGATGGCCCGTCCGTCCTTCGGTGGCTCGGTGAAAGTCCGCAAGAATTCGCCCTCGATCGCGAACTTCGCATTGAGATACGTCTCGTGACGTGTCACGAACTCGTTCCGGGGGCCCGGTAATGAACGCCTCGTCCACGGGGACGAAGAACCGTGGTTATCTCTGAGGCTGCGGTGTCGGTCACGACATTCTCGTTCCGCGCATACCTCTCCCCCTCTCGAGCATCGCTCTCGAGTCGAAGCTCGAAAAAGAAAAAAAAAGGAAAAAAAA